GGGGGGGGGGGGGGGGGGGGGGAGGTTGTTACTACCCATATTCGCATATGTTAGATCACGCCGTAAGTTAGTTGGCGTAAATACAAGAAGCGATTATCTTTGAGATGATAAGAAGTTAATCCTAATGGTCTTAAATGATATATACAAGGGTGTAAAAGAGTGGTTAACAAGTATTAGAAGTTAAACGAATCAAGGATGTTGTAACCCGTATTTTTGGGTAAAACTAGAGGTTCTTAATATTCTTAGTAGGCCGTGTTTTAAGGTATTTGAATCACATAATATCCATATCATAAGTCTTGAAGTCAAACGAGTTATGAAACAAAAGTCGACAAAAGTTGTCGCAACTTACGTACATAAATTAACTTAAACTTTAGGTCAAATGTTACTAAGCTTTTCTCCCAATTTACATGGAATTACAGGGTGAATTGCCCACCCGATTGAAGATCTATGAGTCTAGTTTCCAACATATTAAATCGTTTATCGACACAATATCGAAGTAGAGAGATATTTGCATTTTTACGAGACTACGCAAACAGCTCTCTATGGGACCCACATAGATGGTTGAAATAAATTGATATATATATATATATATATATATATGAGACGCCTTAAGCCCATTAAAACTCATTCTTTTTCACTCTCTTCAGACCCTAGACACCTAAAACTCTCTCCCAAGGTTCTCTCATGATTCAAGACCCAAACAAATGGCAAACAGCACAAATCAAGTGTCAGGAATCCCGTGGCACTGGTAAGTTTCTTGTTCTTCTAGTTGTTGCTGATTTTTGTGTGGTTCCAACTCTTGTAGGAGGTTGTTTTAAGTGTTTTAAGTTCTGTACAATACTCTCTCCCGTTTTTAATATCAAACCTAGGTGATTTCAAGTCTTCCAAAGTGATTCTAGTGCCGAAAAACCCGAATTGATTGCTAGTTTCGCTTCCTTGTTCTTGTGGCAACATTGGAAGGATATTTCGTGGTGAAGTAAGGTCAAATTGGAGTTTTTATAGCTGTTTAAAGGTAAGTAACCTCTTACTCTACATGTATTTAAGAGTATCCAAGTTGCGGCTATGTCGTTGAAGCTAGAACTTGTGAGATATCTATCGAAAGGCTTGTTAGTAATGTTGTTGGTTGGTGGACTATTTTGGGAGGCTTAATATGATTATTATTGATGTTGTTTGGGCTGTCTGGTGATTGTTTTAACTTGTGGGAAGTCATACAAATAAGGAAGGTGTTGTTCGTTCCATCATATAATACGTTGCGGTCGGTATTAATAGTTACGACTCTTAAACGATAATGGAGCATCATTTTTCTTATTGTAGACTGATAAGTAGGGATTTTTACTACTTATTTGCACTCTTATAATTTTGTTTTAGCTCAAAATTGCTTAAAGGTATTCCCGAAAACTAATGAAATGTGCTTTCTTGCAGTAGTGTTGGAATACGAGCCAAAGAAATAAAAATCAACTCAAGAAGGAGTAATTTTGGACAAGGACCAAAACAAGGCTAAAAGTGCACAATGCGGAGCGCACAATGTTGATTGCGGCCGCAAAACATAAGGAAGCCTCTGATAGAATTCCCATGAAAAATACAGATCGCATAATTCTAGTGCGGCCGCAGAAGATGAAGTTCAGAGAGTTGTATTTTTGGGCCATGAAGAAGTGCGGACCGCACCATTATTGCGCGACCGCACTCATAATTGTGCGGTCCGCAGAAGAGGAGAATTAGAGACCCATGTTTTTGGATGATTGAATATGTTCGGACCGCACTATTATTGTGCGGGAGGCCAAAATGCGGCTGCACTCATAAATGTGCGGTCCGCATACCGAAGGCCAGCTCCAGTCCAAGTTCAAGCGTGCGATCGCACTCAGAAATGTGCGGTCCACACAATTAAATGAAGTACGACCGCAATCCAATTTTATGCGACCACAAAAAGCCCAATCAACATGCAGATAGCACACAGAAGTGTGTGGCCGCACAATCTCCGTAGGGGCAATTTTATCAGATATTTTCAGCTTAGTATAAATAGAACTTTTTGTCATTTTTAGGTTAAGTTGTGTAAGTTGGGAGCACCTGAGCCGTTTTTATTTACTGTATTGGGTAACATTGTACTAGATTAGCTTTTAAACATTACATTTTCTTATCAAGTATTATGAATTCTCTTTCAGTTTCGTCTTTAATTTCTGCATTTTTCATGAGTAGCTAAACCCATAGCTAGGGTTGTGACCCAACCCTTGTATGGGTACTTATTGGGTGATTGATTTAGGGCTTATTTATAGGTATATTATATTTAGCCTAGTTCTTGCTTAAATTTGAGAATTGATGGTTGCAAACATTGATTCATGCCTAATTGACTTTGTTTCTACTTGAGAAAGAGAGAAAGTCTAGGAAAACTTGGCTAACAAGAAATTAGGGTGAACTCAAGAAATTGATAGCCCAATTAAAGGGTCAAATCTAGAGATAGCAAGACTTGACTTGAGCATATATCACTTGCTTTGTGAAATACCCATTTGGACTTGAGAAAGCCAAATCGGGCAAAATCACTCAAACTACCGAGAGATATAGAGTGAGTAATCGCGTGTGATTGCTATATTGTATCCCGATCAACCAAACATGCGCTAAAGCTTTCAACCCGGTAGGTATCCATCTGGGCGGAAGTTACAACCCTAGATCTTTCATAACTTGAAAAAAAACCAAAACAAAAAATATTTTCTCTTAGCTCTACAATTACAATCAATAGCTTAAAAGTAGAAGTAGAAACAACAATTGAAAATGTGGAAGTGTAATTTGAGGCACATCATACAGTCACACTAGGTATATACCTAATCCAAAATCTAACTCCCTGTGGATTCGAGCCCGACTTGTGTTGGGTTTTTATTATTCCTTCGACCGTCTCACAACCTATATTTGCGGTGAGTTCGGGCGACCTCAAAATTTTTGGCGTCGTTGCTGGGGAGTTAAACAGACTTAGCTATATATCTAGGTTTTTCTGTGATTTGTTTTCTTTTCCTTCCGAGTCACTAATTTTGTTTTTGAATTGATTATAGGTACGAGAATGGCAACAACGAGCCCATCGGGAATTAGCCGGGGGGGGGGGGGATGTGGATGATGACCAAGATGATGAGGTTCCTCTTAAATCTCAAGCAAATAGGTGGGGCCGACCGCCTCATGATAATGTTCCCATCCCCCTCCCCTAAAAGAATCCATAAACGGACGATTTACAAAAAGGAAAGAAAAGAAAAAGGGACTTATCTGAGTGGAACAACTGGTACCATTGATCATGACATGCATTTCGGACTAATCGTCCCAATCCGCCCAACCAATCAACTTTCCCCTGCAACGCTTTGTTGCCCCAGAATTCCATAATCCTGATTTCTTCAACCAAACCCTAACCTTGTTCATCCTGCAGTGTCTTGAACGGTTTTCACCCCCAGACCTATCTCATTTGATTTCTCTCAACTCACTTTCGCCTTATGGTGCCGTGAGGGTTTTCACCAATAAGACTCTCATTTTTCATTTCTCTCAGCTCGCGTCGCCTTACGGTGCCCGTGAGGGTTTTCACCAATAAGACTCTCTCATTTTATTTCTCTCATCTCCCGTCGCCTTACGGTGCCCGTGAGGGTTTTCACCAATAAGACTCTCTCATTTTGGATTTTTCCTGCTTGAACCAGAGTGTTGCCCCTGACATGAATTACCTTTACCCGCTTGACTTGGCATTTCTTGAAAACTGATCGGAAGGTCTTTCTTTGGACCGTAATGTGGGCTTTTGTACAGGGTTAGAAAGAAAGGGTATCAAAGGCTCACAAACAATTCGACGTGGGTTCAAAACTACAACTTTCGGAATAAAATCTCTTTCACAACCACAACTTCTGCCCTAGTTTCTTCCTTGGGGACTTTTGAACTTTTATTTCGGTGTGACTGAACCTCAGAGAGAGGCTGCCTACGTACCCTTTCGGGATCAAGTCAAACGTAGTTCAGGTCATACGAATTACTTTGTTGCTGTGATTTTCTCTTCTCCCATTTTCTCTCTTTTCTTGTTTTCCTTTTCTTTTCTTTTCATTTCTTTTCTTTTTCTTTTTCTTTTTTTCTTTTCTTTTCTTTGCTTTTTTTTTTCATTTCTTTTCTTCTTTTTTTTTTCATTTTTGTTCTCTCTCTCTCTTTTCACTGTTTTTCTTCTCCTTTTCCTTCACTTACTTTCCATGCTTGTGTTTACGAACTTTGTCATTGATTCCAAAAGAGGGGTATGAAAGAAGATAACTGAGGCTCAAAGGGGTAGCAAAGGATAAAGTATTTAGGTAACAGAACAAAATGCCTTCGTCATTCCAATTTTCAAAATATGCCAAGTACAATCAGACAAAGGAATCATACATAGTATCTCTTGACTGCATCGGAGTTGATAGCCATTTCTACACATTTTCCTTCCACATCTGTCAAATATAATGCACCATTGGACAACACTCTAGTTACGACAAATGGTCCCTGCCAGTTTGGGTGAACTTTCCTTTTGCTTCAGCCTGATGAGGCAAGATACGTCTCAACACTAACTGACCCACTTCAAACTTCCGTGGACGCACCTTCTTATTATATGCTCTTGCCATTCTCTGTTGATACAATTGGTCATGACACCCTGCTGCCATTCTTTTCTCATTGATCAAACTCAATTGCTCAGGCGGGTTCTGACCCACTCATCATCATCAATTTCGGCTTCAGCGACAATCCGAAGGGATGGGATTTCAACTTTTCAGAATTAGCTTGGCTTTTGGAACTGGGCCGAAGATTCCTTATGCATGTCATATCATTGAAACAAGCCTAAAAGAACTGTGTAAGGAAGAAAAGAAAAATAAAAATAAAACTATCAGGAATGATGAAAAAGGGAAATTGCATTTCATTGAAATCAAAAGATAGCAAGGTTTAACTCATCCAAACGGACGGAACATAGAATCTGAATTACAACCCTGGAATAATCCAGACAACTAAAAGGAAATCAAAACCCACTACCAAAACTCCCTCCGAGTAGGAAGAGGAGTAGCTTCCCAATTGTTGATCTTCACATTCGGCTTGACAAAATGCACCTCTTCGTCACCAGAGCCTCCCCAATTTCCACCGTGTTTACTTCATCAAATAAACTTTGGACCCTCTCAAATCAACTCCTCATCAAAGACAACCACCGGCTTTGGAACTGCTGACACCGGATGCTTCACTGCCCATGGCTTGACAATGACGGGATCTGTGTGGGCTTCTTAGGCTCCCCTCCCTTATGCACTATCTCGATCATATTTGTCTCATGATGGGCCAGCAATGGATTCTGGTTGATATCGGGCGCCTTTTTTGCCCATGCTTGATACATCTTGGCCATCTGTTGTTTCAGTTTATACATCTCTTCTTTCATCACATTAACATCCAACTCTTCCACCTTTCTCGAAGGATCGATAACACTCGTGTCAAGTTCCTGGTTGGCCATGATCAACTTGTTTTGTTTTTTGACCGGGTGTTGTAGGAGTGAGTTGCCAAAATGCCAATCAACTAACCACCTGCCTGGACTCATCATCAACAACAACTTTGTTAGAGGTTAGAGCATTAATAGATAGGCAACCGCACATTTTGGGAATGAATGCACCTAAGCAGTTAACCATTTCTACTATGCCTTTGCTTGGTTGCATGCGTCATCCTGGCTTTCTTTTTTCTTTATTTGCCATGCCTTTTCTCTCATTCTTCCCCCTTGTTTTTCCATTGTTTGTTTCTTGCCTTTCCCTCTTTTCTTTTGCTTTTCTCTCTTATTTTTTCCCTTTTTTTCCTTTTTCCTTCTTTTCCTCTTGCCTCGGTTTTTTCTTGTTCATATTCTCTCCTTTCCTCAAATTGTTTTTCCGCTCTTTTCTTTCCTTTTCTCTTGCTCCCTTTTTATTTTCTCTTGTTTGCCTTTTTTGTTTTTGGTTACGGTCGAATCCTATGGAGATTGCCTACGTATCATGACCCCGCATGAATCAGACCAAGTGTAGTTCTTGCGGATAAAAAAAATAAATAATAAAATATTTTGGGATTTTCAAATAAAATGTTTTGATTACAACGACTCGTCCTACCAAATTTATACCATAAAAACCAACAAGCTCAAAAGGAAACTAACAGGAGAAAAATCAAGACTCATTTTTGACTCAAAAGTTATCACTATTTTTTCAAAATTTTCATAAAAATATCCGGCTTTGCCAATACGGCCTTTCAGCACCTCGAGGAAGAAGATTTTAAGGCTGTGTTCGCTAACCGGTCAAAAGATTTAAAAATGACCAAAGGTGGCTGTTCTTGCAAAAACAGCCTTCCGGCGCCCTTTAGGGACATTCGGCTTATTTTAAACAAGAATGGCGTCACCCGACTTATTTTGACAAAAATTAAAGTTTTGGTATTTTTGGCTATTTTTGCAAAAGGGAGGTTGGACCCGATGAGGGTTGCCTACGTATCTCACATCCGGTGAGAATCAAACCAGCGTAGTTCGGTCAGATTTGTCAAAACCTAATATTTTTGAAAATCTTTTTCTCTCTTTTTCAAATATTTCCTCTTTTTTATTTTTTTTTGAAAATCCGGCAGCATTTCGGTACTATTCGGGCATTGGTTTTTTCCAGACAAGTGGTTACCCTTACTTAGCCCTAACACTGCTGTTTTTCAATTTTCTCTCATTATCTACAAGCCGATCAACATGCAAATCCAAAGCAAATGAATGCACAAGTAGCACGTAAGATGCATCAGGATGGTCTTTTCATTTCAGGTCACCTGTCCTAGACGGACCCAACCCCTGTGTTGAGTCCCCTAAGTCAAATGCACATGATGCAAACAAATGTTCCTACTAAGGATCCGGCATGAGGTTTTGTTCTTCTAGGTTTAAACCCTAGGTTTATTGGTCTAGACCTGGCTTACCCGAGCGGACAACTCAGGCCGAGGGGGAGGCAGCGTACCGGGGATACAGAAGCTCCGCCGGCTTAGCAACTTATCCAAACCTCGTTCTAAATGGGAAAAGACTCTAAACAGAAGAGAAGCTACACGAAGTGCACCCTTTTCCATGATGTAGAAGACTCAGAGAGAGGAAGGGATTCATAACAGTTTATATACAATTCAACAAATATCAAAGCGGTAAAACAATTAGCACATAAGGCATGAAACATGTAGGAAAATCAGATAAAG